AGTTAAAATTAAATTAGAAGTAAAACCCCATCAGTCCAGGCCAGCCAAACGAAACAGCCACATTTTCAGGTCATGGCGGAGGTCGGGGGCCACCCGGAGCTCCAGGGGAAGTTGATTCCAAAGGGTAGGTGCGCCCACAGAGAAAGCCCTCCCCCTGGGGGTTGCCAGCTGACACTGTCTGGCCGACGGCACCCTGAGGAGGCCCTCTCTGTGGGAATGCACCGGGCGATGGGAAGCTGTTGCTGGCTGCAGATGGTCCACCAAATATCCTGGGCCTAAGCCATGTAGGGCCTTATAGGTAATCACCAGCACCTTGAATCTCACTCGGAGGGCAACTGGCAACCAATGCAAGTCGCGTAGGAGAGGTGTAACATGGGAGTGTCGGGATATTCCCATCACAACCCGCGCGGCCGCATTCTGAAGTCTCGGAGTGGTCTTCAAGGGCAGCCCCATGTAGAGGGCATTGTTGTAGTCAATACGGGAGGTGACAAGCGCATGAGTAACCGTGCGTAGGGCATCTAGGTCCAAATAGGGGCTCAACAAAGGCAAACCTGGGCGAATAACTATACAAAGTTAATGCAACAAATTAAGTTGGACCTGGAGAAATGGAAGAACTTACAACTCTCAATGATAGGGAGAATAAAGCATTCCTCACATAGTGTCTTTGAAAATATCTGTGTGCCATATTCCTTTCCTACCATAAAAAGGAATGCCATCCTAATTGGAGATCATGTCCCTCCAATAATAGTAATCTTCCATGCCTCAAATTTATCCATTCTTTTACCCATGTAAGTACAGATGCCTATTAATATAGCTCCCAGTCCGGTAGCCCAAAGCCTCCATGTCCTTTACACTCCTGTAACATTTTCAATTTTATTCTTGCTTTTTTCCCTTGCCAAATATATTTCAAAGTAATTTTATTTATTTCTTCAAAATATACTTTCTCTAGTTTTATCAGTATTGTTGGAAATAGGAAAAGTAACTTCAGTAGTATATTCATTTTTATAGTAGCTATTTTTAGTATGGGAAAAAAATTGAATCACAAAATTATATAAAAATACCAGTCTGGCTCTCTACAGTGGAAGGATTGATACATCCAAATGTTGTTAATATGGAAAAAATGTAACCTATAAAACATTTTAAATGAGAATGGGGAACTTAAGACAGGAATTACAAAACCTAGGGGTGGATTTAGCTTGGTGGCCACACCTGTAAATTGAGTTACGAGGAAGATGCAAAAACATGCTGTTTTTATAAAGAACCAACAATACTTGGCAAGGTGTTATTAGGGACAGATGAAAAATTGATAAGGAAAATATATAATTATTTACTGAATTTTAAAATGGAAGATGAACAAGTAAAAGAAACAATGATAGTATGGGCAAAAAACTTTGGCTATACGATGGAATTAGACAAATGGCAAAAACTTTGGGATAGAAGCTATAAACTGACAATGGCTACTGCATATAAAAAAATATTTACAAAATGTTTTATAGGTGGCATTTGCCACCGGCTAGGTTAGCAAAAATATTTAACAACATGTCCGTCAAGTGTTGGAAATCAGACTCCAGGTACTTATTATCATATGGTGGATATGTGTGAAGGCAAGCAAATATTGGACAAAAATACATACATGGTTGGAGAAGATGATTAAGCAACACAGATTTTAAACCAGAAATAATGTTGTTAGGTATAATACAAGAAAACTATGACAAAGGGACTACAGTATATACTTAATGTTACATGTATTGGCAGCAGCGAGAACAGTATTTGCACAATAGTGGAAAAATGAGAACACCCCATCAGATGAAAATATAATCCGGAAAATATTGGACTGTGCAGAGATAGAACATACCGTATTTTCCGGCGTATAAGACGACTTTTTAACACATGAAAATCTTCTCAAAAGTCGGGGGTCATCTTATACGCCGGGTGTAGTTCTCCTGTAACCAGGCAGACCAGCCCGAAAGGCTCTGACGAGCCTTAAATGGCTCTGGCGATCCCAGCTCTGACAATCCCAGCTGAGTTCCCTGCAACTCAGCTGGGATCGCCAGAAACCAGGTAAAAGAAAAAAAGTTTTTTCCCTTTTACTCTGAGGATCCCAGCTCTGATGATCCCAGCTGAGTTCCCTGCAACTCAGCTGGGATCGCCAGAACCATAGCTCTGACGGTCCCAGTTCTGATGGTCGATCCCATCCCAGCTGAGTTCCCTGCAACTCAGCTGGGATGGCCAGAGCCATGTAAAAGGGAACAAGTTTTCCCCCTCCAGCTTGCTTACCTCAGCTGCTAGTTGCAACGCTTGCCTTGCTTTGCTTGCCTGAATCTATTCAGGCAAGCAAGGAACTCCCTGCCTGCAATCAAGCAAGGAGTTAGTTGTGGACTTCAACTCCCAGAATTCCTCAGCCATCAAACCAAAGCTGGCTGAGGAATTCTGGGAGTTGAAGTCTACAAGTCTTAAAGTTGCCAAGGTTGGAGACCCCTGTTCTATTGGGTAAGTTTTTTTCCCCTTTGGGAGCTTTAAAAAAAATAGTCAATTGGGGTTTTTTTAGTTGTTCTTTTTTAGACCTAGCCATTTAAAGTTTAGGAAGTTTTAAATTTAGCTTTCATATAAAAATAAAATAAAATAAAACAATATTTGTGCAGCTTTGTGAGATTTAGTGTGTTTCTGTAGTGTTTCACTCCAACTACACAAACACACAAAATCTCACAAAGCTGTATGTGGAATTTTGTGTGTGTAAAGTGTGAAAGTTGGTTTTTTGGACTTTTTGTGGCTGTGTGAGGTTCCTGCTTGTTGCAGGGGCCATTTTGGGTCTAGCACAGCTGCTTTTACATTGTGGGTGAGCCAGTTGTGTTGTGTTGTGTGTGTTTAGAGTGTGAAAGTTTTTTGGGGGGGCTTTTTGTGGCTGTGTGAGGTTCCTGCTTGTTACAGGGGCCATTTTGGGTCTAGCACAGCTGCTTTTACATTGTAGGTGAGCCAGTTGATGTTTTTTAATTTTTATTTGGTGTGCATTGGAAGAGGGGCAGTCTTATATGGCGAGTATAGCCCAAACCCTATATTTTAACAGGAAAAGTTGGGGGTCGTCTTATACGCCCAGTCGTCTTATACACCGGAAAATACGGTAGAATTCTTTATTGGCCAAGTGTGATTGGACACACAAGGAATTTGTCTTGGTGGATATTCTCTCAGTGTACATAAAAAGACAAGATACATTCGTCAAGAATCATAAGGTACAACACTTAATGATAGTCCATAGGGTACAAATAAGCAATCAAAACATACTAGGAAATAAACAATATCAGTATAAATCGTAAGGATACAAACAACAAAGTTACAGTCATGCAGTCATAAATGGGAGGAGAGGGGTGATAGTAATGATGAGAAGACTAATAGTAATAGTAATACAGCCTTAGTGAATAGTTTGACAGTGTTGAGGGAATTATTTGTTTAGCAGAGTAATGGCGTTCCGGAAAAAACTGTTCTTGTGTCTAGTTGTTCTGGTGTGCAGTGATCTATAGCGTCGTTTTGAGGGTAGAAGTTGAAACAATTTATGTCCAGGATGCGAGGGGTCTGTAAATATTTTCATAACCCTCTTTTTGACTCATGCAGTATACAGGTCCTCAATGGAAGGCAGGTTGGTAGCAATTGTTTTTTCTGTAGTTCTAATTATCCTCTGAAGTCTGTGTCTGTCTTATTGGGCTGCAGAACCGAACCAGACAGTTATAGAGGTGCAGATGACAGACTCAATAATTCCTCTGTAGAACTGGATCAGCAGCTCCTTGGGCAGTTTGAGCTTCCAGAGTTGGCGCAGAAAGAACATTCTTTGTTGTGCTTTTTTGATGACGTTTTTGATGTTGGGTGTCCATTTTAGGTCTGAGATATGCTAGAACCTAGAAATTTGAAGGTCTCTACTGTTGATACTGTGTTGTCTAGTATTGTAAGAAGTGATAGTATGGGAGAGTGTCTCCTAAAGTCTACCACCATTTGTACGGTTTTGAGTGTGTTCAGTTCCAGATTGTTCCCGTCGCACCACGAGGATAGTTGTTCAACCTCCCATCCGTGTGCGGATTCATTGTTGTCTCGAATGAGACTAATAGATAGATTGACATTGAAAATAAAAGATAAAGGAGACACGGAATACTACTTAATGTGGAATAGGTTTTATCAATGGTTAGAGATAAGATGTAGAAATTAGATGAAGAATAGTATTGTTAGAGTTAAGTAAAATATGAATGTTGTTTATAATTATATATACCATATTTTTCAGAGTATAAGACGCACCTTTTTCCCCCATAAAAGAGGGTGAAAATTTGGATGCGTCTTATACACCGAATGTAGCCCCACCCAGCCTCTAAAATGGCTGAAAAAAGCCTCTTAAAGGGAGGTTTCAGAGGCTGGGAAAAAAAGCAAGGCGCAGAGCTTACAACCAACAAACTGTTCCTCTGGGAACAGCTGATTGGGGGTATTCTGGGAGGCCATCCACCAGCCAATCAGCTTTTTTCTTATTTTCCTCCCCAAAAACTAAGGTGCGTCTTATACTCCGGTGCATCTTATAGTCCGAAAAATACAATAAGTCAATATATTTAATAGGAATAAAAATAAGCAAATATAATTATAAATATGATTAGAAATTATTTTGTTATGTTATTATTATTGTTATCAGTATATGTTATCTTTTTTTGTTCTTTTTTCTCTTTCTTTTTTGTAAAATGGTATGCCCGGACATTACCCTGTATTCAAAATATTTATATATAAATTAAAAAAAACTTCACAGAAAAAAAAAGAAGTTGCCCTGGGGGCAGAATTCACCTCCTGGAGATCAGAGATTTTCCAGGTAGAACTCAAGAGGGTGGCCTTAAAGCCCCCTTTGGTACTACATCTCACCCAGTGCAGTTCACCTAGCAAGTGATGTGACTGGCACAACCATTCCTCCCTCCCTCCCTCCTTTCTTTCTTTCTTTCTTTCTTTCTTTCTTTCTTTCTTTCTTTCTTTTTTTTTCTTAGGGTGCCTTTAATCGGACTCCTTTGTACCGAGCAGCCTTCGGGGGACACTTGGCAGCGGTGGAGCTGCTTCTCCAGCACGGGGCTGACCCTCGACTCTATGCCGATGATGGCAACACACCAGAGCAGGTATGCCTAATCTTGTTGCCCTTAAGGAACTCCTTCTCCCACCTCCCCTCCGCTGTAGCCTTGGGGGTGAAGCTTCCTTGCATGAAAATGCCCCGTTAGCTGATTCTTTCCAGGTAAGCAGCGTTATGCCAAGCATAAAAAGTAGTAAGCCAGAGTAATGGAAAAGTGTTGGTGATCACCTTTAAAGCCCTGCATGGGTCCAGGTTACCCCAATGGGACGGGCCCGCCCCACTCCTGCCGGCAGAGGAGGCATGCAGCAGAATTCTGGCTGGCGGGCTCCAGCAGAAGAGCCTTCTCTTCCATGGTCCTGTCCCTTTGGAACATCTAGCTCCCCCCTCTCCCGGGTTGAGATCTGCCCCCACCCTCCTGACCTTCATAGGAGCCTGAGGCTCTGCCAGTTGCCCTGTGGCCCCACTGAGGAAGCACCACACTGAGGGTAGTTGATGGATGAATAGCAGCAGCAAGACTTCTCAAAGTCTTTGAGTTTCTCCTCCTAACGTACCTATTGCACAGTGGGCAGAAGCTCTCAATACACCACCCACCACCAGCATTTACACATCCTCAAATTCCACGCCTTCAGTAAACCTTCTACCAAGTAAACAGATGTAGTGTTTGCTATAGAACTTGTTCTGTTGAAGTGTAATTTATATTGGGTCCCCTTTGATGGGGTTTTTTCTTTGGCTGGCCAACTCTTTGAAACCAGCTGCCCGGCCCCCTGTGAAGCCCCCTGTCTGTTTTGTGAAAGGAGAGCATATTGTTATCGCCAGCCTTCATGGTAGGTTGCTTATATATTCCTTGTTGCATTCTTAGGTTGGTTTTTATGATTTTTCTTTTATTTTCTAGAAACTAAAACCACATGAATTAAAAGTAAATTAAAAGCCTGAAAAAAATAGAAAGGCTTTTACCTGGTGCCAAAATTATTCCAGCCACCAGCTGAGCCTCTCTGAGGAGGGGATTTTATACAGGTAGTCCTCAGGTTGCAACTCTTTAAAGGTACAAGGGGAGATTTATGGCAGCAGCTCTCTGGCCACCATCACAGCCTAACAGAATAGTTTTATTGAGACTATTGCACATCTTGCACAAAGAGAGTGGGGATGTATGGTACTGCGCCCAGTTGAATGAATGACCTCTCCCAGGCGTCTCACTGTAGAGGTTCAACAGGAGAAGGGAAAGACCAGAACCTTGAGACAGCCAACTCTGTAAGATAGGCCAGGGTGGGGGACAACAGTAACTAGATCTGGCCAGGCAAGAAGGAGAGCCACTCCTGAGCCCTCAAGGTGATCCAGAAGGATCACATGGTTGATGGTATCAGAAGCTGCTGAGATATCCAGGGGAGCACACACACACCCATGAGTCCTTCAAAGGTCATCCATCAGGGCAACTGATGCTATCTCAGTTCTCTAACCTGGCCTGAATCCCAACAGAAAAAGCAAATCTGCTTCATTTGAGCCTTTGAAAGCTGGGAGTTCAGCACCCTCTTTGCAACTCTCCCTAAAAGTGTGCAGCTTGATTAGGTCTGAGGATGGCCTTTCAAGAAGGGAGGATAGCACTGCTTCCTTTAAGGCAGGTGGAACCAACACCACCCCCTCCTGCAAAAAGTCATTAAATGAGACTCAACCACGTGCCACCTCCCAGGGAACCTTGGCCAGCCAGGAAGGACCCTGGGTGCAGTAGATAGGTGGTCGAACTCCTGGAGCAGACTAGGATTCTGCCCACTTCCTCAGGACTGATCAGCCCAGACTCCTGCGGATGAGATGAGGGGTCTAAGCCCCGCAGCATCTCCCTAGGGCCTGCCCAGCTGGAGTGAGGCCGAATTACTTCCTTGCGTAATCCTGTAAATAATAGTCCCTGAAGGCTTTCCCCAGGTCCATGCTTACCCAGAAGGAAACTGATCACCTGAAACAGAGTCGCTGGCTGTTATCCATTGATGCAATAAGAGCAGAGCAATAAATCTTCCTGGCCACTGTTGCTGCCACAAGGCAAGTCCTGACAAAAGACTTTTGCCTGTGTTCGGTCAGCTTCACTTCTGCGGTGTGTCCGGGTCTGGTCAGTTGGATCAGGTCCCTGTTTCCCATGGTGGTTGTGAACTCCTGACCTACCTTTCACTGCAAGCTCAAAGAAGGCAGATGAAAGTCCCCAAGGCCGCTTCCTTGGAGTCTTTCAATGGCCAAAGGACTGAATTATATGCGCCCCATATGGGTGAGTGGGTGGGTGGGAGACTGCCCAAAGGCTGTGCTTGACAGTGCCAAGCCTTGTGCATAGTAAAAGTCCTCTGCTCCCCAGAAGGAATAGCCCCAGTCATCCTTAGTGGTCAAGAATATTAATCTTGCTTGTGAACATCTCAGGATGTGGCCTTCTGCTATTCCTCTCAAGGTTGCTTCTCTGGACAGTGTGGTGGCTATCCTGAGTGCCTGGGATGTCACTCTGACAGACACCATGCTCCAAAAGATGGAGGCTGAGCAGCAGCGGAGAGTCCTGCAGAAGCAGAGGCACAAGGAAGCTGAAGTGCGCCAGTAAGTGCCTTCTTCCCCTCCCTGCCTCCCTGCCCCCCTGCCCCCGCTGCAGCACTTGCATGGGACCAGCATCTGGGGGCTCTTCGGGATGACCTCATGGAGCAGGTCTGTGTCTCCCTCCAGAACCCAGTTGGCCTGGTGGAGCTGGCTGACCACCCTGAGGCCCAAGCAATGCAGGGAGGACAGAAGGGCATCAGCTCCCCCCCTATGCCAAATCCCTCAGGGACCTAAAGAAGCTGTTCTTTAGATGGGTGTGGCTAGGGGGGGGATTTTAGCCCTGGTTCCTCCCGAGAGCCTTTAGCAGCTTTGACACCCCAGCCCCCATGGCCTGATGAAGCAGGGTCTCTTGCCTCCTCTTCCTCCACCTTCAAATTGAATCCATTGAACTGTGCTCTGTACACTACGAATGTCAATTGTGTATGACTGTCTTTCACTGAGAAGTGACTGAACCAATCCCTGAGAAAGGATTGGTGACAGAGACCCCTGATCCTAATTTTAGAAGAGGTGCAGAAGGATCCTGAGCTACAGCATTCTCCTGGGCCATTCCTGTGAAATGGGGCCCTAGGAAGGGATGGCCTTGGAACATTGCACCCACTCATAAAGCTTGGCAGCCATGCCTTATTCTCTGGGCAGCTAGAGGAAATCCCTGGGGTGGGGTGGCCACTCAGCAGATTGTCCTGCACATCCGACTCTGGAGAAGTTGGGTACAACTTCTGCTATGAAGGTGTGATGGAGAGCCACTAAGGGACAAGGGCTTCTTGCGTTCAGGAACTGGGTTGCAAGAAAGCTCCACCGCTTGGGAGGGTCTCTCTGGTCATCCGTTCCTCAAGGGAAGCTCACACACCCCTCTCCTGGAGCAATGTTTTTTTTGGGGGGGGGGCTGGTGCTGTTGGTGTGCAGCTGGTGCCGGACACAGCAGCCGCTTGCTCAGGATAGCTGCCTGCAAAGCTGCCCTTGGCTGGTAGTGAGAATTGAGTTATGCTGGGCAGGCCCCAGGATGGCTTCCCGCTTGGAGCCCTGGCTGGTCACTGAGAATAGACCAATGCTGGCTTTTCTCTGGGCTCTCCAACAGTCTGGAGTCTCCTCCCATGCTCTCTCTCTCCCCCCTCCCCCCCCTGCAATTCAGAGAGGTCTGTGGAAACTCAGGATAAATGGCAGAAGAGTCCCCCCCCCTCTTTTTCTTTTTTGGCTCTCTCTCCACCCTTCTCTTTTAATCTATTTCTATATTGTTTTAATGCAGTGTTTGATTATCTATTGTGCTGTTTTTATTGTGAGCAAGCTATGCTGTGTTTGGGCATAGTAAGTGGCACAGAAGTAAAACAAACGCACAAGATGGTGTAGTCCCTCTTTCTTATAATGTGTATGTTTGGGGGGTGGTTTGACAGCATCACTCAAAGAAGGGAACCTGGAGGTTCAGGAGGGCTTTGCTCTTCAGGGCAAGAGGGGTCCCAAAGTCCCACTCCAAGGACTTGGCCCTTCGAAGAAGCAGAAAGACCAGGGGGGGCCCAAACGTCCTCTTCACAAGCAGCTCGAAGGGGCCCCTGATGCCTCTTGGTCCCCACAGGACCACCGAAGCCGTGGAGCAGCTGGCCAAGGAGCACGAGAGATGCAGCAGGGAGGTGAGCATCAATGCCTCCTCCATCCCAGGGATCCTCTCTGGTCCACCATCCCAACGGGTGGGTGGGTGTTATCCTTGGCCTCGGGGCTTTGGTCTCAGTGACCCCCAGTGGGATGGCTTCATCCACTTGAACCTTCTCAGGCACACGGCCTCTCTCCTTTTGCAGCTGCAGCAGGCCTACGCAGAGCTCAACCGACGGATAACAGAGCACGACAAGTGCCAGCGGAAGCAGATGGGGAACACAGAGCTGACCCTGCATGTGAGCACTACTTCCCTTCCCGGGTGTCTCCCAAGGGTGCACTCCACGGGCCGTTCAGGGATGTTAGTGTGCTGCCAATTGCCAGGCTGTGGCTCTCTGCCAGGGCACAGCAAGATTTTGTCTGCAGCATAGGCCAGCCAGGCAGCCCTTTGTATTTGCCAAATAGCTGGGTGATGGAGTGCAGGCGCCCACTGCCAGTCAGCCCATCTGTAGGCCCCCTCAAGAATTCAGAAGTACTGGATTGCTGTGGCTATTTCTTTCTTGGGGGAGGGGGGAGATGCCTGCAAATACAGTACAAGTGACTAACAGTTAAGTGCCAACTGTGGACAGGACACTCTGGATGTCAAATAACATATTCCCTGGGCAGCGCCAGGGGAGCCGAGTGAGGCTGAGGGCTAGCCCCATTTATTCTTTGGGTGGAGGTCCCCTTTGCCCGGCAAGAGAAGGCTCTCTTGGGCCAGGCTTGCCCGTCCTTTCTAGCCAGAGGTGTTTCCTGGGACAGGCCGTAGCTGATGCAGAAGGGCTGGTGGAGAAGCTGCGCGTGGCTGCGGAGGAGGCCGAGGAGAAGCTGTCCCTGGCCCGCTTGAAGCTGCGAGAGCAAATGCAGGAGGGTCAGTGAGGCGGCTGATGGTGGTTGCAAGGGGCAAGGCCGTCTTCCCCAGCTCCTCCAGAGAAGCTCCAGGGCTTGGGCTGGGTCGCCTCAGCCTCGCAGCAGTCCTTCAAAGGGGCTCCCCGCCCCTCCTAAACCAGGACCCTTCTTGAACACAAGTGACCTTGCCCCGAAGAAGAAAGCGGGGCCCATCCTTGCCCCGGCTGAGTTTGGGAAGGGGGAGGAAGAAGTGGATCCAGCATTCTGCCAGGTGTGACTGGACACCAGAAAGGGAGCCGGTCAGCTTCTGCAACCACGGCAGGCACTGGGGAGAGGGCCCCAAGGAATAGGGCGATGCTGTGCTGTCAGGCTTCCCTCGTGGTGTGGAAGGCAACTGCCAGCTGGCCCCTCACCACTCTGCTCTGCCTTGGCAGGATCGCCCTCCGAGATTCCAGGTCTCAAGTGCTCCGTGCAGGAACTGGATGATGTGCTGATGAAAGACGTGGGTGGGAAAATGCAGACCGACGGGCGGTGAGTGGCGGGAGGGAGCCTCCCTGGCAGCCCTCCCTAGAGAACAGGGCAGTGGTGGGTTTCAAATTTTTTTACTACCGGTTCTGTGGGTGTGGCTTGGTGGGCATGGCTTGGTAGGTGTGGCAGGGGAAGGATACTGTAAAATCTCCATTCCCACCACATTCCAGGGGAAGGTTACTGCAAAATCCCCATTTCCTCCTGATCAGCTGGGACTTGGGTGGCAGAGAATGGGGGCGGGGCCAGTCAGAATTTTTACTACCGGTTCTCCGAACTACTCAAAATTTCTGCTACCGGTTCTCCAGAACTGGTCAGAACTGCTGAAACCACCTCTGGAGCAGGGCCTTCTGGTCTCCAACGGCAGATGGCCTGCCCCAGCCCCAACTCTCTCCTTCCCTCTGTCCAGGTGGCCCTTGATCATCGACCCCTCTGGGCAAGCAGCAATTTTCCTGCGCTACCGTGACACCAACTACCTGAACACTGCCAATCCCGCTGACATGGCCGTGGAAGCCATTCGCCTGGCCTTGCTGGGGTCTCTTCGGTAGGGCTCCAGTATGTGGGGAGGCCTCTTCTCACTAATGGAGCACTGATCCAGGCGTAGTGTGGGAGGAGCGCAGTAGGGTAGCAGATGTGCCAGAAATGATGACATGGATGGGCAGGGGAAGCTGGGTTCTGGTGAGAAGCTTGGGGGTGGGTGGGGTGGGAGGCTTCTGGCCAATGGCTAGTGATCTCCATGAGGGACAACTCTCTCTCTTTCTCCCTCCCCCCCCCGGCTCTGTTCCATCCATTGCCAGCTATGGGAAGCCCCTGGTCTTTGACATGATGGAACTGGACATGTTTGATACAGTGAAAAAGCAGCTGGAACGGCTGGAGACAGGCCTCACTCAGGCACTGCTGAGCAAGAAGATCCTGGAGAGTGAAAGGTGAGCCCTTTCATTATGTGCCACAAACCAAGACTAACTTCTGATGGGTCAGAGCTCTCTCGGGTGCCTGAGAACCCACCAATGGGGCAGTTGGAGGTCATCTGAAGGAAAGAGCGGAGGGCCAATCACCTGCCATAGGGTGCAGAAAACAGACCTTGGGGTTCTGGGATGGGGCGGAGGGTCTCCCAGCAGCAGCTGTGAACATTCCTGGGTCGCCTTCAGTAGAGGTCGGTCTGAGGCCTCCCAGGGCCATTAGGGGCCACGGCTCTTCTGAGACAAGTGGAAGTGCAATTTCTATGGGCTTATGAGATTCTGGCCATTTCCAAAAAGGGAGCCCCTGGCACTCAGAAGAGATTCAGAAAGAAAGCCAACCATCCCCATGGATCAAGTAAAATAATTTGGCTCAATAAGCCCAGAGATGCACTATGCTGTGGGGGCTACATTCATGCAATACGGCCAAAGAAACAAACCATTTAATGGATTTACAAAAACATCATAGGGGAACCAGCTGGGCTGAGCTGGCAATACATGCTAAGGAACAGACAATTCTAACCGTCGGCTCTACCCAAGCTTAGAGCGTTGTAAGAATGCAGCCCCACTGCGTCTTTCCGATTTAAAGCTTTGTTGTGAGCAGAAAGCAGGTCAGGTGCAAGTGTTCTTCTCCTGGGGGGTCATTTCGATCCTCTCCCCATAGCTTTCCTTTCTTTGGAATCCTCCCAGCTTTGTACTGCTGTGCTCCCCCCACAAACTGGGCTCGCACAAGGCACTTACAGACCGCTAACCCTAACTCCCCGGAGGAGGGGTGGGAGGATTAGTGTCCTACCAGCCTTGGAGTTCATCTGCCCCCAATGTCCTATCTCATCCTTTGAGGCTTCGGTTGACCAGCTGACCCATCGCTACCCCATTGGAGGAAGGGGAGCACCCCACTTGAGTTCTTCACCCTCACCCAGTCACACTCAGGGAGTCAGATGGTCTCGAGGGAGGCGCTGTTCTTGACTGCCCTGCCTTACCCCCACCTGCAGGACAGGATGTTCTCCACCTGAGATGGCATTGCAAGCTGCAAGCCAACCCCTCCCTCATGGTGCACCACCTTGTTGTCAGCTGGTGGCCCCAACTCTGCCCGGAATGGCCAGGCCAAATCCCTTCTCCTCCGTCTTGGGCAGGTATCGCTCCTTACTGAGGCCAACAGACAGACCAGAATATGCAGAGACGGAATTTCAAATTGCTCGGATGGAGAAGTTCAGGCTCTTTGTGGTCACCAAGCGCCATCACCCCCCTGAAGAGCTGCTGCAGGCCTTCCTCCCTGTCCAAGTCCTCCTGTCTGGAATGGCCAGGCGGTAGGCACAGCTTGGCAGTGCCCGGTTCAACAGCACCCCGAGGGGTGCGTGCTTGTCTTGCAGTGACCCCGTGGCAGACAGGCAGGCGGGCGGGTGAATGGGCAGTGCCCACCTCCTGTTGCAGCAGGAGACGATGAGGCTTCCCCTGACTATCCTTGGCTTTTTTTCAGAAAGCGGAGCTTCAGAAGACCCCCCCTTCCCCAAGTGGCTCCTGCTAGGCCCGTGCGCTGATTGGGAGGGAGGAGCCCAGGTGGCCTTACCTTTGCAGACCATCCAGAGGCCGGGCGCATCAATAAAGTTGTTCTTTTGGAAAGTCCCAAGGTAGCCTCTCTCTGCGCCTTTCTCCCCAGCCCCCGACCTCTGTAATTTGTCCCTCCCAGGATGGCCCGTGCCACCCCATGCTGGACGACGGGCTCTGCCCGCCTGCCACTCTCCCCAGTCCTCATCAGTCATACAACGGTGATCCCTTAACAAAGGGCACCTCCTGTCTTTGGGTCCAGTGATATGGCCAAAGAGAAGGCTACCATGGCTTAATCCAGTGGCCTAATTTGCTAAATTTGATAAGCCAACAGATGGCCTAGCTTAGCCCTCCTCCTTGGGACAGAGTAAAGGGCGTGGGGTGAGGGGGGGGAATGTGGAATGTGCCCTCTGGGCAAGGCTAGCCTGCATGTGATGGGGTGGGTGGGGGTGAGGAAGCCGCTCCCAGCATATCTGAAACCTAGGGGGGGGGGGAAAGGTCAGCCACACCTTTTACCAAGTAGCCACAGACTTCGGTTTCTTCTGGCTGAAAGGACGGCTGACCCTGCTGAAAGTAAGGGCCCGGCCCCTCCTCCATCTTCCCTGTAAGGACGCAGCTGAAGGGGCAGCCAGAATGACTGCCTAGCCCAGGGGTCTGCAACCTTAAACACCCAAGAGCCATTTGGACCCGTTTCCCACAAACACTGGGAGCCACAAAACTCTTCCCATGCCTGACTATTTCATGAGCGGCCACAGAACTAGCATACGTAGTTCTGTTTTCTTCTGAAACTTCTATTTTCTTGGATTTATCCCCCCCACCCCGTTTTTGGTTCCAGGCGGCTTCAGGGAGGCCTGCTAGCACAAAAGTGGGGGTCGCACGTGCAGGGAGAGCATGGGGGTCACACGTGCATGTGGGGGGCCCTGTGGGGGGGCATTGCATTATGGGTGTCAGCACACACGTAGACACGCTTTCGGCACCTGAGGAAAAACAGGTTTGTCATCACTGCCGTAGGCAGCTTGCAGCATCATCCAAAGGAAACCACTCCAGAGACATTCCCTTCCCGTGGCTGGGCCTGCCATCCTGCGACGTGCAGCCATTTCCTACTGTTGTGACCTAGGCTTACTGAGTCATTACAATGCACAATTAGTCCCCCAAAAAACCTATTTTATTTTAACAGCTGAGAATTACGTTCATTCCCAGCTGAATCCCAATTGGTTGCAAAAAAAAAGTCCTTTGGAAGAAGTCCTTTGGGGTAATCACCAACCTTTATCTTCTTTTGACACCCTGCCAAAGGCCTTACTTGGCAAAGCCCCACAGAATTCAGAAACAAGAGATGCTGACTGGAAACAGAGTTAGCAACGTTTTCCTGCAAAAGGCCCAAGTGCCTTTGTTTCTCTTTTAAGCCTTATGGGAGGGCTTATCTCCTGGCCTTATTCCCGAGTTGTCCGTTTTGCTTTAGCTGGTCTTGCCTTCTGGCAGCTCTGTGCATGCGTGCACTAGGAACAGGCTCTTCCTGTTCCTCTGCCTCTCTGCTGTCCGACTCTGGGGGCTCCAGAGTCCGTGCATCACTTCCAGATGGCCCTGGCCCCATCTCTGCCTCCAATGCAGAGCCCTCATCCAGGCCTTCCCCAGACTCCAGGACTGGCCCATGTTCCTCCCCAGCCTCCTCACTCTCCGACTCTGCTGCGAGCTCCGCAGGCTGCTGGCAGACCACAACACTTACCTCCCACAGTCCAGGCCTCTGGGACTTCCTTTCAGGTATTAAAGAGCCTTAACATTTCCCCCTCCAAGCTAAACCTAGCAAGTGGCCCTTTCTCTGTTTGGAAAATATAATTTCCATCCCCCTTACTGCGTCTGTTGATGCTGCTCTGACAGCTCTGGTCCGTTCTTGAATTGTAATGCCCAGAAATGGGAACAGTGGAGTTCCAGGTCTCCTGCAGAAGAGGGTGGAATTGTGACTTCCTGGAAAATGATGTTTCTCTGGATGCAGCCCCAAAGGACAAGCCTCCTTACCACCTGGTTTGAAGTCAGTGCTGCTTATTTGGAAGTACCCAAGACAGGTAGCGGCTGCCCTGCAGCTGTAAATGCACATAAGCATGTGTGCATGTGTGTGTCTCTTTCCTTTAGACCACCTATGCGACCTGCAGAAATGGCTGTGTCCTGCCTCTGGGTGCTTTATGTCAGCTGCACATGGGCTAGGCCAGGGGTCAGCAACCTGCGGCTCTGGAGCTGCATGTGGCTCTTTCACCCCTCTGCTGTGGCTCCATCACTCAAAATACACGTCACAACTGCCAATGTGCGACACCCGCCAGCACACGATTTATTGAGCTTTTCAACCCCCCCTGCATACACACGACACACACACACACACCCCGCCGCGCATGCACGTGCATCTCCCGGCAGAGACCCGATAATCAGCTGGCCAGCGGGAGGCGCACGGACATGCGCAGTGGAGTTGACCTGGGTGTCGGCTCGGGTACCTGCAGAGATGGCTCCACGTGCCACCTGTGGCATGCATGCCTTAGGCTCACCATCACGGTCCTAGGACCTTATTTTATTTTTTAATTTATTTGTATCCTGCCGTTTTTTACAAATAATCCAAGGCACAGAAAAGTTCCAATGCACCTCCCTCCTCCTATTTTCCCCATAACCACCCTCCTATGTGGTGGGTTGGGCTGAGAGAGGGACCAGTTTTCATGGCTAAGCTGGGACTAGAACTCACCGTCTCCTGCTTTTTAGCCTGGTGCCTTATCCACCTGGCTCAATGTGGCCTTTCAGCTTGGAGGGGAGGAAGCGGTCAGTCTTGGCCAGCCTTCCTGCCCCACTAATGCTGTGAAAAAGGAAGGCAGGCCAAGGCCAAGACCAAAGAGGACAGGGTCACTCCGGGGGCTCATCCCGAAGGCCCAGAGCAGGGAAGAGATCACCCGTCCTCCTGCACGTCGGGGTTCCAGCCCACGAGCCAATGGAGGGTCAATGCTGAGCCCTCACTTGTTCTGCCCAAACGGGCCCTGAAGCTCAGACACTCAGACACACAGTGTTTCTGCCCCCTTTGTTATCCCCCACTTCTTTGGGTCTCAATCCTTTTGCGGGTTAAAGTAGCTCAGCTGCTCTTCGCAATCCCTCCTGAAAGGCAGCCCCTCCCTAGTTAGCCTCATGGTGGGGGGGGGGGGGCAGGAGGGTTTACTAATCTTGCAGAGAGAGGGAGAGCAGCTGGGCTGGTGGTGGTGGTGGTGGCTAAGTCAAGGAAGGATCCAGGGCTCTAAAAGGTAAAGTAAACTTTATTGTCATTGAACCACAAAATAGATTTCTTTGGTTGTACAAATGTCACTAGTTACAGTCCTGATCTCCCCCCAGTCTACCCTGGGGGAGGAGAGATGGATCACAGCCCAGCACCTATAAGTTAGTTAGCCACGGAAACCCTGCCTGATCACTCCCCAGCTGCTCATTAAAAGCAAATGCTAAAATTAGTTTAAAAACAAAAAGCTCTAACAGGTGATGTCAAAGCAGCCACATTGGTAGCTGGAGAAAAAGAGATGGAGATCTGCCCTGCTACCTTCTTAAAGCCAAATGTCCAGTTCAAAGGAGCCTTCCCAGCGATTTGGCCTAAGCCATGTCCCTGTCCTGTGGAAGGCTGGCAGCCTGCCCGATGGGTGCCAGCAGAGTCCCTCGCCCCCCCTCCCCCCAGATGACCCCACAGCTCCACCAGCCGGGCTGCAAAGCACCGGCTGGGCTGGTGGGGCCAGTCGCAATTTTGGGACTTCCCCTCCCCCTGCACTATTCCAACCCCCAACCTCTGCCTCACCAGACCTAATGCCACTAACCCGCCCCTACTCGGCTTCACCCTTCTCTATTGTGCCTGGCACGGCAGCACCCAAACATTCCCCCGCCCCGCCAGCAGGTGTTGCTGGGGCTCCAAGGGAAGGTGGGGGACAGGCATGGGGGCCCCACCGCTGGTCGGTTACGCCCGGCAGGTCTCCAGCAACGACCACAGCTGATGCCACATGGAAACAGTTTCGTGGCCGTCCTCCACCCACTATTTACAGACCCCACATCCCATCGGTTCCCCTCACCCCCCAATGCTCTGTCTCTGTTTTGTCACAACCTGCCCCAGTGCATTGCAAGGAGGTCCAGAGCCCCACGGTCCATTGAGGGGCCCAGCAGCCAATCACCCCACTCTGTCCCCTTGGCCTGGCTGTGTCCGTACAGTCTTTAACGACAGGCATGTTATGTCGGGACGGCGGCTTCTAAGCTGTGTTGGGACTGCTGGAGGTTGCGCTCATCGCCAAAGAGCCCCAGCTCTTGGCCCACAGAAGGTCCGTGGGTCATCAAGGGCTCCGGCATCCCACCATGGTCCTGACGCCCTGAGGGGAGGAGAAAGGAGAACTCAACCTGCTCTTTGACCAGGTGCCTTCCAGAAAGGTGCCCCTCACTCCACAGGCAGAGCATGAAAGGCAGGAAGACTCTGCAGAAGCCCCCTCCCCTCGTCAGGACCAGGGCCTGCAGGCTGAGGAGAGGGGGCAGCCGGGGGGCTGAACCGTCAGGCAGAGACTGGGAAGCAGCGTTCAGTCATGGACACCCCTTGCTCTCTCCAAGGAAGGTCAAGAACCAGCTAAGCATGTTTGGGGGGGGGGGTTGTGTCCCTATCCCCTTGCCCAACGGCTTGGCCACGCATTCCCCCTCCTTGCTGTCTGGGGATGTAGAGAGGCTGTCCGGCCGTCCACCCACCTGAGCTGCTGCTGATGCTGCCAAGACGTTTGCAGGATTCTCGCCCATCTGGAATCTGCAAGAACAGAGGAGGATTAGCCCCCCGGCAGCCCTCCCACCTGCCTGCCTCCCCCCCCACCACCCCCTTGCTGGGGGCGCCCAGAGAAAGGAGATACTTCAAGGAGAGCAGGATTCAAAGGAAGGCTTCTAGTGCAGGGGAGCAAGTGCTGGCCACAGAGACAGAGGGATGGGATGAGGGTCGGGGGGGGGGGGGGGCTGCCAGGCAGGGCAGGTTCTTTTAAACAGGTCTGCTCTTGCGCCTGAGGGCTGAGGGGCACTGCCCAGAGCCAGACCATGATTTGCATGGCTACCCA